ACCCCCCCCCCCCCCCCCCAAAAAAAAAACGGTATCCCATATTCACGTAAACTCCTCTCTCTCGTCTCTCTCTTTTGACGATCGAGGAACAACCAAGGGACAACAGAGCCAAACGTAGCAGCAGCAGCGGGAAAGGAGAAGGAGGACAAAAGGAAGAAAAAGGAGGAGGTCGTCGTGCGAGTTCCTCGTCGTTAGTCTCATCTTGGTAATTCTTAATTGTCAAATTTGAGGTGAGTACGTGGAACCCTAACGTTAGAATGTTCGATTAAGTTTAAAACCTAGGTTTGTATAACTTTGTGATTGAATTATGTGAACCCTACAAGCGTTAAACCTCGTTTACGTATTTTTGTGACTTTAAAGGCATTAATTGATATAAATATGATTAAAATGTTGTTAAATAATGTTAGGAATGTTATTACAAACCTATTGATGTAATTTAGGCTAAAATCCACGTATGGTCCTTCAACTTTTTGAGATGTGCACAATTGGTCTTTCAAGTTTTTTATATCCATAAACAGTCCTTCAACTAATACTCTAGCTGCAGATACAGTCCTTCCGTTAGTAATAAACAGAGCGTGTGTCCCACGGACGAACTGAACCCCCTCTTTTATTAGTTTACCCTTCTTTTCTTGCTTTTTCTTGCTGCAGACACGATCCCCCCTTCTTTTCTTGCTTTACTCTATATACAACTGTTTTTTTGAATGTAAAAAAAATTGTGGGACTATGGATGTGGAGTTTAGTAAAATTTTCAAAATAAAAACCCCTAATTTCATCGCATACCCAATTTCAATAAGTGGTGCAATTCTTAATTTTAAACTACTAGAAACTAAAACCAATTACATGAACAAAATGAAAACAGAGAGAGGAACATGAAAATAGAGATGCGTGAAGATGGAGGAACATAAAAACCCTAGTTTTAATTATTCTACTAAACTATTACCCTTCTGTCGCCATTAAAACAGAGCTGAGTTTGTTGGTTACATCCAAGAACCAATTCAAGAAGTAAGGTAGATAAGTAGATTGATTGGAGAAATAAAGAGGAAATTGAGGATGAGGCTGACGACACAGAGCAACAGGAGAAGTGTTTCGTCACTTGAAATTTGAAGTGGAGCACCTGTAAATTAATTTGAAGATGAAATGAGAAATAAAACAAAGCCCTTTTTGGTCCTTTTCTTATCAACCGTTTGGTTTAACGTGTACCATCGATAGGATATCGCGTGTGCAGCCAGAGTATTAGTTGAAGGACTATTTATGGATATAAAAAACTTGAAGAACAAACGGTGCACATCTCAAAAAGTTGAAGGACCATACGTGGATTTTAGCCATGTAATTTATTGTGAAATTGGTGTTGACGGTAAGGCGGTACTGTTGGGACGGTACCAAGCTACCGCCACCTTCTTCGTTCTACCTTCCTCTGCCGGTACCTATCACCAAACGGTACCTGTGTACCGGGCGACGGTAGACCCCACCGCTGAGTCGGTAGAGGCTACCGAGCCAGGCCTATCGGGTGAGTGCAAGAATAGTTTCAGACGGTACCCACGCACTGTGGGGTTGATACCCCGTACCGTTAAGGGTACCGTGAGATACTTGAACCAGTCAGTGTTCTGGGTTTCATCAAGGATTGATTCCGATATTTGTGTGTTGCATGACGGGAAATATGAGTGACAACACCCTAGACTAGACCGTTATTTGTGTAATAATGATATGTTGTATTAACCCAACACATATATGGTTAAGTAAACTGTATAAATCTCATAATTCAATGCTAGTGAGGCTGATCTAGCATTAGTACACAGGTGACGCATGTTGATCCTACACCCTCGTCAAGGTAAGTCTACCCAGGGGAAATCATTGGGACTGACACAAGTAGTTAGTAAAGTAAGCGTCTAAACCAGGTGGGTGCCTGCTGGGCTCCAATGGTTAAAGCGGGTAAAAATGTGCGTACGGGTCTCCTTGAACTGTCTGGTGATCCATCAGGTGGGGATTCCACCCACCCAAAGGGGAACACTTTCGTTGGCAGAGCATGACTGGCTGATCTAGTGGGAACAAACATGACTCCAAACAGTAGAAGGGTCCTTGAGTCTAGTATAACAGTAAGAACATGTACTTGGGAATCCACCAACTCGAGAAGTTCCACAGGTTTGCCAAAAGACGAATGGGCAAGCAACATGTAATTATGTTTGGTATTGTGTGCCGGTAACGTATGTGTTATTTGCATGACATCACTTGACTGTATTGGATTGTGGGTTCACTTGTTGTTTTGACGCTAGATATTTTTTATTCAGCGTCAATGCTGAGCGTGTAGTTTGTTGTTGCTACACGCAGGTAAACAGGGGGACAATGAACCTAGAGTCGACCCCGAAAGACATTGAGGACGAGGAGATGTGGGTGGACCTAATTGAGGACTTGAAAGCACTTTTCATAGCAAATTGACTTAATACATTTTTGGGCATGAGTCCCAAGTTGTGTTATTTTAATTAACTATTTGAGCTTCCACACTGTTTTACCTTACTCCGAAGTTGGATTTTAAATTGAGAACGGTTGGATGTTTTAGATTATTGTGTGTTAGGATACCGAAATAGTAATAACCTAGTTCGCTAACCCGCATCTACCAGTTACGCAAGTTGGGGTATTACATTTTGGAATAAGTTGGTAGACCCATTAATAGGAAGTGCGAAATAGGGAGTAGAACAGCAAGTAATGTGGGTTCTGCTTCATATTCTCCAGTGTCCTCACAATCCTTTGTTGGACCTACCACATTTATGATTTGGCAAAGCCAGCCAATCGATTAGTACAGCAGTTACATATTTACTCATATATATATAGTCGCAATCAATATTGATGTTAGCCTATCAGAGTATGGATTGGGTAATTAGTCACTACATACTCAATCTTAGTACAGTACAGTTATTTACACATAAAGTGCAATGCATGGGAGCATAATTGCAAATGTCATATAGTTGTCCATTAAAACATCCAAGGTTCTCAAAAAATTATTTCTCTAAAAAATGTGACTTGGAATTTATGTGAAATATTTATTGTATTCTTTTCAAACCCATTACTTAGTGAAGCAAGCACATCTAAATTAAAAATTCCGATCTCTCTTGCTACTAAGACCAATCTCATCAAGGCTTGCTAAAATTTATGATATATAAGCCAACCATTTCTTCTCTTCTTCAATGAATGTGCTATCTTTTAGCAAGCTTGCTAAAAAATAATCGAGTTTGACTTACTAAATATAATAAGCTATTCAAATTACAGCAAGTCAATATTAATAGAATGGATTAGCAATCCATTGTTGGAGAATGGAACAAAGAATTGCTTGCTACTCCATATATCATTATTCACTGTTAAAATATAAAAATAACAATCCTTTTATGGGCCACAACCATAAGACTTAACTTCTGGTTGAGTTCATTTCTAGACAAATGTAAATTTTGACATTTTGGATGCCAAGTATTAAATTTTGATGAACGAAAACAGCTATAATTTAGACTCCTTATTTTATACTCCCTCCGTCCCATGAAACCTTTCTCCTTTTTTTTATCCGTCCCACAAAACACTTCTCATTTCTATTAAAAAATCACTTTTACCCCTTACTTTTTCATACTCTAACTATCACATCATACTTTTTTACTAATAATCTATCCATCAAATCATACTTTTACCCATCACATCAAAGGATATTTTTGGAAATTCAATACCAAAATATACCCCCCTTAAATCCCTCCTAAAAAGCAAAAGTCCCATGTTTCATGGGACGGAGGGAATAGTTTAATCCAATTTGCATTGAGGTTATCCACTACCAATTTTAAGATATCAACTTTCAAACTCCAAAGTCCAGTTTAAAATAAAGAAAAATTTGCTCCATATAAGACCAAAAAAGGTATGTTTTCCGGGACAGTACTAATTATGTTTTATTCTCTTTATGACACATACTTTTGTATGATCTTTCTATACATACTCTCATGGCTTAGCCCGACCGTTTTTCAATTCCTCTTTTTTTGCCAATATTTATTTCCATATTGATGAGATAATCACCCATTAATATCTCCTACTCCCTCCGTTTCAAAAAACCCTTCCTCTTTCGTTTTTTTGTTTTCCACAAAACACTTCCATTATAAAAAAAACTACATTAATTAAATAAAAACATTACATTCATTAAATAAAAAAAATTACATTCATGAAAAAATAAATAAAATACTTGAATAATAATTTTTTTTTAAAAAAATGATAGATAGAGAGAAATTTGTATTTGTGTTGAATTTTTTTAAAAAATTAAATTAAATTTAGAGAGAAGAAAAGGGGAAAAAAGAGGAAAAAAAAGAAGGAAGAAAGCCTTCTCACGCCTTCAACTCGCGTCAAAGATTTAACGCAGAAGTTTTAACGCCCTTATAATGGGGGAGGGGGGCGGTGTTTCACGCCCCCCAGGCATCAAAACTAGGCTAACGCCCTTTGGCGTTACAAGTATTTCCACTGCTCTAAGATAGAGTGATATTCAAATTCGAATTCGAATTCGGTTTGAATATTTTTTAAGATTCATATTCAGTTCGTTTAATATATTGAACATATTCGGTTCGTTTAAAAATTTGGTTCGTTTAAATATATTCGATTTGTTTAAAAATATTCGATTTATTTAGATTTTAAAATATTTTATAACCATTTAATCTAATGATTAGCTATATATATATAATTTGTATAATTAAATTTATATTCTGAATATATTTGTGATTTGTCAAACTCACGAATCGAATATCCTTGATTCATATTGTATTTGGATTTGAAAAAATCAAATACGAATCACCTCATACGAATACGAATCACGAATCGAACTAAAAATATTTGATTCATTTACAATGATGAACCGGCGGGGCTTTGCACTTGGCGACAAGCGGCTCAGTTTTGAACAATGTCACCCCTATCCCTTCACCCAAATCCACCTCCCCTTCCCCGACCCTCTCCCACTCAAAACACTGTATCATAGACCTCAAAGCCAACCCCATAACCCTCCGGGCAAGCCCGGCCCCCCGGCACGACCTCCTCCCCATTCCGAACGGCAGGAGCTCCGTTAACTCCACGTGCGCGCCGCCGTCGAACCTCTCCGGCCGGAAGCTCATGGGGTCCTCCCACAGGTTCGGGTCCCTGTGGATGGCCCACGCGTTGACCAGCAACATCGTGCCCCGCGGAATGTCGTACCCGGCTATTTTACAGTCGGCCGACGAGTAGTGCAGCACAAGAAGCGGCGCCGCCGGGAACAACCGGAGCGTCTCCGTGATTATGTTCTGAAGGTACTTCAGCTTTGGCAGGTCGTCTTCGTCCATCACCCGGTCTGGTCCGACCACGTCGTCTATCTCGGACCGGGCTTTGTGTAGAACCGTCGGATGGTTCAGCAGGATTGATAGTGCCCACTCCATTGTCACCGCCGTAGTGTCCGATCCCACCAGTAACATCACCTGCCATTTTATGGAGACTACTCATCGTCATTTACTACCCACGTTTGCAGTTGGACTTCTCCTCTTTCTAATAGTGTTATTAAACCCGGGTCGGACAACACGATCCGACCAGTAGAACTGCAACTCGGACACACAACTAATTCGGTCCAACCCCCAAAACCCATAAAACCCAGAAAAACCAGATCGATCCAGGACCCGTCCTCCTTGTTGGGCTAACATTGGTTTGGGTTTAAAATCATTCCTTTCTAACACAAATTTTTGGAAATGTAGATATAACACCTAAGAAAGATTCCATATTAACTTCATCATATAAATCCCACTTCTAACATCACCTGTTTACAAACTTTACACACATTCACAGACATCCGACATTGTTCTGTGTCTGTAAACATCTCCAAGGTTTGTAAGAATGATGTTAAAGGTGAGCTTTACATTTTGGGGTCAAGATAGCATTACTCAAGAGCTAACCCAAGTCATCCTTTATAAATAGACTAGATACTACTCCATATTACACTGCAAGCTCATCATGTTTAAAAATAGTTAGACCAGATACTACTCCGTATTTGGTATGAATTCCTTAAAGAGTCTAAGGGTGTTAATTTGGATCAATCCAATCCGATCAACTAATTTGAATATCCAGTATTTTCGGATCGACGAATATCATTCTATATTATACATGGAATCTGATATTCGAAATTTTAAATCGGATCAATAGAGTATCCAAGCACTAATATTTGTTGTATTTGATATGAAAAACTCTATCATGCATTACATGTTATTAAGATCATGTTCTTTTGAATTGAAATTTCAGAGTTGGATGTTGGAAAAAATTGGAAGGAGTTATAAGAAACTAAGAGTTGGGTAAAATTGGGAAGAATTGAAAATGTTACAATAAGTGTTAAAAAGTCACTCAATTAAATGTGTCTTAAATGTTAACTTATTAAAAACAAGACATCAAAGTCTTAGAAATGATAATAAAATTGACATATTTCCACAAAAGAAGAGGGCCTAAGTTGTGTCTTAAATGTTAACTTATTAAAAATAAGACATCAAAGTCTTAGAAATGATAATAAAATTGACATATTTCCACAATAGAATTCATCGTTATCCGTGTTTGAAAGATATATTATAAATTTGGATATATAATGTTATTTTATATTAATCATATATAAATATTTTTTTGGGTCGTTGTTAGAAAAAATTAAAAGAATTTGGAATGATCTGGAAAGACTTGAAAGAAACATAAAAAGGTTGGAAGAAGTTAGAATTTAATTCTTCCAACCCAAAAGAAGAGGGCCTAAGTTGAGTCTTAAATGTTAACTTATTAAAAACAAGACATCAAAGTCTTATAATAATAATAATAATTCTTAATTGGATCTGATCTGATTGGATTTAATCTGATCTAATCTAATTCGATATGATTTAATCTGATCTGATTTTAATAAGAATAAGAATCTTTCTATATACAATGCTGCTAAGAGGACCTTAATAACAGTGTTCCCGCCCATTTGATAAGCTACAGTAATCGGAAAATTTGGACTGCACAATCCAATAAAAAAAACTGGCGAAGCTTCCCTCATACTCTTAAGGATTCCGAGTGAATATTGGATATTGGACTCCGTATTTTATTAGATGTACGAAGAGAGCGTGTAGAGAATTCCGCCGGATCAGCAGAGATTGACCTTCTTCGGGAAGCAGCTTGGAGACAGCCGGACCCTTGCCGAATACAACATCTAAAAAGGTAAACGTTTAATCTACGGTTTTGTTCTTGACACCTTTTTGGATTCAATCACTGTGGAATTTAATCTTTGTTGGTGTTTGATTTGGGATTCTAACAGAGTCTACTCTGGATCTCATCACCAGGCTGTTTAGATCCAGAATGTTTGATCAAGGGAAGGAGATATTGAGTTCGGTTGCCGTTGATGATAGTCTTAGTAAACACCCAGTGTCGGAGATAGCAGATTTAGCGAGGGAGAACAACAGGGAGAATCCCGAGATGGTTGTAAAGCTGCTGGATGCATTATTTAGGGTTTATGTCTATCACATGAAGCTCAAGGAAGCCATTGAGGTTTTTGACTACATGAAGAACAACGAGTATGAGATTCATGACAAATCTTGCAGCCAAAAGGTCTAATCAATTCTAGTTGTTGTTTGCGTTTTTCCAGAAGATGGTGGATGCAAATTTGAAGATCACGGTTTATTCAACGACTATGGTAATTGATGGATTGTGTAAAATGGGAAGAGTAGATGAAGCAAGAAGATTGTTGCAGGATATGATGATTCGTAGAGGCGTGAAACCTAACGAACATACTTATAACACGTTATTGAATGGATATGTGAAGCACTCGGATCTTGGCGCCGTGAATGATATCTTAAATGAGATGAAGAAGGAAGGAATCCAGATGAATACCACAAGCTACACAGTTCTAATAGAAGGTTATTCAAAGTTGAGAAGATTTGAAGAAGCAGGGGAACTTTTTGGAGATATGGAAAAGAGAAACATAGAAGCAGATGCTCATGTCTACACTGCTGGAATGGCAATTGGCATCGTTGGTGACGCCGGTGTTAGAGCTAACTCACAACAGTCAAAGCTCTTTGTTGGTATGATTCCCATTCTCATTTTTGCCGAAGCTTTGGCTCTTTAAGGCCTCATTGTTGGAATCATCCTCTCTTATCACTCTCAATTGCCTACTTTTCTTTTTTACCCTATTTAACTTTTCAATCTCACACCTAAGGGTATGTTTGGATCCTGGAAAATGCCAATAATATTAGGGAGTATTTTCTTATATTGTACTTGGTTTAAATTTTAATAATGCAAAGGAAAATGTAATAGGATTAGTCCGTTTTTATACTTCGTATTTAAATTTGCATATATCTAGATTTCATAATCTCTATATAACAGAAATAAATAAATAAATGAGTATCCACAAATATCGGAAGTAAACTTATTGAGTTTAAGCATTCATTTGCTTTCACCCACATTTTCTTTCAATTTTAATTTCCCCCGAAACGAAATGTGAACTGTGTGGTGGAACAGGGAGTTAAAGCTGTAATCACTAAGAGCTTTGAGAGGATACACCGAAGTAACTTGGTGGGGATGGGCATTATTCCTTTATGTTTCAAGGCTGTAGAGGATGCAGAGACACTGGGATTGACAGGTAAGGAGCGCTACTCCCTGAGAGTGAAAGTACAGAAGCTTTGCCGGCCAGTCTAGAGCAGACTAGAGGAAGGAAGAACATGCCCAAATGCTTCGGTAACTTTTGTTGTGGTCAAGGCTTTTGCTGTTACGATAAAGCATCTGGTGGTTTTCAAAAAAAGGGGCTGTTTTAGGTATATATATAATCATTTTATCTGTCATTCATCTTTGTACATGGTGTAAAATTTTGTAAAATATTTGTTGGCATCATGAAGCTTTGAAGTAATTTCTCTTCACTTTTTTGGTGAAAAGAAGACAAAGGAGATTGCAAGTTTTTTAAGTATAGTCCATATTTTTTTTCCTCTAAATTTATGTGAAGCACTATTTATGACTAACTATTCTAGGATGCAGTGATGAACAAAGAAAACAATTGTAGACGGTCATGCAGGGACATATAAAACATAAAGACGGTTGGCCTACAGCTGCAGGTCTTCTACTTCTTCATCTTCTTTTTCTTTTTCTTATCTTCGATTTTACATATTTACTCAAGTATATGTCTGAAATTTGCCGCTCTTTTTGTTTAGGTTTTTACCGATCCCTCTTTTCATCCTTAGAGATGTCCTCTACGTCAACAGAGACCTGGCCGCTGCTCTCATCTTTGACCGGAGTCCGGGGTAAGGTTCTTATGGATTTAGGGTTTCGTTCGTTCGGTTTTTTTTCTTTGACTTTAGCGGCCGGTCATTCCATCCGTAAGAAGAATTAGGCTCATAGAATCAATCGTCTCTGACTTTCTTCCTCCATGTCCAATTCATTACTTATCTATCTATCTATCAATCAGGTATTTCATTTTCTACCCTCATTTTCTTCTTTGAGTTTTTGTCTTCTATTAGGTATATGGTCAGATTTTAGAAAATGATACATTACTCAACAAATCATCTATTAGGTCTATATTAGTCTGTGATTTTTCTCAATTTTTTCCTACAGCCTTTGTCATTTTGTGAGTTTTTGTTTCAAAAAATTATAATTGGAAATTTTTTGTTCTCATATTAAAGTGGTCTTTTAGATTTTTGATACTACTGACTAAATTTGATTTAAATATTATTGACTAAATGTAGAATTTCATTTTTGAATTTCTTAAAAAACCTAAATGTTTAGGTGAAATGAACTTTTATTCAATAAAATGTGAGAAAGTGCACATTTTTTGGGGTTTAGTTTATATGGTGATTCACAAGATGTCTTCTCCCTTATATTCTTTGGGTGGAAACATTTCAAAAAAGGCGTGAAGGTGTGTAATTTCATTGACAACTTATTTATTCTGATAAGTGATTTAAATTCATCATTAGGAAAATGTTTGTGTTTCTTTATAGTTCAATTTTGCATATTGATTACAAAAGTTTTGTAGTTTGCATAAGGAATTCATTTGACTATTGAAGAGACACAATTACAACCTGGATTTTTTTAAATTTTTGATTGTCTTTTAGATTTTTATTACTACATTTGTCTCTTCTATGACTTGGAGTGGCTAATTCATTCATTAAATGTTCAGATTTTTATTACTACATGTGTCTTTTAGATTTTTATTACAACGACATAGAAGGTATGTTTGTGGGTGTGTTCAGTTTTCTTAAAAAAGTTGTTTACCTGTGAGTAACATTTTGACTTTATAATGTTATTCATATTCTAACTCTTTGCATTGATAAATGAAGTTTATTTAAGTGTAGCTAACAGTTGCAAGACGACTATGGTCTTCATGTGATGGGCTGATGGCTATCCACTGGTCTGAACAATAGACTCCTCAAGGGTAGTATTTACCCTCTCTTTGTTTTTGTTTCTTTTGATTTATAAATTTCAAATTTATTACTTTCCAAATTCATAAATGGATTAAGCAATGATAAATATGTTTGTTTAAAATAGGCAACATTTAAGTTTTCATCATCTTCACCTTCATTGTTGCTCAAGTTTCAGTGAGTATTCCATGAACATTGGCTTCTTTTAAGTTTCTAATTTTGATAGTTTTTCTTTAAGTAATGCAATGCATTTCTGTTCCAGATTAGAATTAAAGATTTGCGAGTGGAGGAGGTTAGGGTTTAGGGTTTTGAGGCTCCGATACCATGTAAAATAATAAAGAATGCTTTATTGATTGAATAATAGAAGAGGAATACCAAAATATGTATTTATAGGTGGAGGAATATATTCTAGAATCCTCCACATTAATGGCTAATTATATAAGGTAACATTATATAATAATAACTCTAACTATAATAGGTAACAACCATAATTATAATATATAATATTAAATATATTAAATAATTGATATATTTAACATTTTTCTTTAATGATGATCATTTTAATGGGATAATGATGAGCACTCTAAATCCCTCTACCTCAAATAGGCATAGAAGATAGGTTAGGATATGATGGTGGCAACATGATGGATATGTGAGGACATAAATGCAATTTTGACTTATTGTAAATTGTTTATTTTTTCTTCAGATTGTGATTGTAATCCTAATTAATAGGTTTTGGCATAAATTTCGGTGGTAGGTTTGTACATTTTTTCAAGCGAATCTGAAATTTTGAGTGTTCTGTAGATTAGAAAAGCATGTCAATGTCAAGTAATGAGAAAGGTATGTTTACTCAATTCTAATGGATAAATTTTTTAAGTAAGCACTCATTTTTTCATTAGTTCATTTTATTATTCGTAGTAGCATTATTCCTTTTCTTTTTTTTGCTATGATAATGTTTTTCAGTGACAAATATGAATCAAGGACATAAATGGCCATAACCATCTCATGATTCCTTCATGGTATTCGTTTTAAGTTATTACTATGCTATTAACCTTTGGTAAAAAGATACTGGAAATGTATCTTTTTAGCGACTCAATGAAGGTGGAATAACTTAAAGCTTTTTTCAGAATCAAGTAATGACAAAGGTATGTTTACTCAATTTGGGTTTTTTTAGTAAACACTCATTTTTTTCGTTAGTTCATTTTGTTATTCGTAGTAGTGAAATTAATACTCCATGAAAAGCTTAAGAATGTGGCTTTGTTGTTTAATACTCCTTGAAAAGCTTTTCCAACCAACTTTTTAAACACTACTTTAAAGAAAACATGGTCTGAATTGTTTAGTACTTCATGAGTAGAAAAAAGGTAAGGGTTGAAGTCATTATTTGGTTGGAGTTGCTAGAAAAGATCAATTTAAATCCTTTTTTAATACATACTCATTTGACATTTGTAATATATTTTTCCAAGGTAGAGAGGGATGACATTGAGTGACACGGTCCCTGTAGTATGAGATTATTACAACCTTTAAAAGTGTTATTTATTTTTAAGATGCTTTGAGAATTCATGTGATCTTCAATCTCTCAACTCAATTTATTAATAGTCTTCATATCTCTTCTTTATCAAAATAGTAGTCTCTTCTTTGGAAATTTTTTTACCGATTGATAAAAGATAGGGATTTCTTAAAACTACAGTTATGCAAATGAATTGTTAATTTGTTTGTGTAAATTATTTTTGAGAGAAAACAATCTAGGGATGTTCTTGGTTGTGTGAAAACATGATCCCTTTCATTTTTTATTAAATTGTTTGAGAAATAGATTTTGCATGGTTGGGCAAATTTACTTTACTCAAAATAACTCTCTTGCTCTTTGTTTGTTGTAGTGAATGGAAGAGACCTTACCCTGATGCATATTTTGAAGAAATTTTTATACATTGCATCTATATTATTGATATTTTGTATCAAGAATATACTTTTGTGCATCTCTATATCTAATGAATAATTCCGTATAATATTTCCTTCATTTATATTTCTTTTGCAATGCACAACAGTTAATTATTATTTTTATATGAATAAATTTTTTATACATGGTAATAATTCTTTTACATAAATTTGTAACTTTATTCTGGCGTTGGACGGGTACGAGTCTAGTTTTTTGAAGCAGGTACGAGTCTAGTTAAACATAAAAAAATAAATTGAACTGAACTAGGGCTAACTGGTCATCGGACATTATTCCACCCGTGGAGACTGGAGAGGTACGGATTGGGCAGGCGGGTATGGGCCGAGATCAAATAGCAATATCGTGTTCGCCCAAATAGGTCAGTGCGGAGTACGGGTCGTGGTAGTCCCAAGCAAGTAAGCAACCTAACCCGCCTTTCCTTTTTCGCTCATCCATGGCTGGGCGCTACGGATCGCTCTCCAGATCTCTTCTCTCTACAGCAACCAGAACCTCCACTTTCCGCCGCTCGCAACCGGTCCTCTTCCAGCGCCTCCCGTCTCGCCGTTTCCTCTCCGGCAATCTTCCCAGGTTTGGTTCCTAAATTCTATACTATCTGCGATACGGACTCTTAGATTCCCTATCTTTAAAATTCTTCTTCTTTTTTTTTTGTAATCACAGGAGTAATCGGATATTAGGCTCTACACAATCGCTGCTTCCTCTTCACGCGGCGGCTCGATTGACTTCGCCCGCCTTAGTGGCGGCGCGCTGTAACTGCAAATTGTCTCCGGCTGCCTTTTTCTGTCGCAATTGCCCTGATCGGTAGTTATCATCAATCACCATCAAATGTGAGTCCTGTTTACTTTTACTGTGATTTGTAATCTGTTTCGTCAATATGTAGAAGCTAAACATAAATCTAAACCTATAACTCTCCAGAATTTAATACTCTGTTTTTGTTGGTAGCATGTCAATTGAAATTAATTTATATGTTAATGTTAGCTACCAATTGAAATTAATTTTCACATTTTAAATATATTATTCAATGATGGTAGCTTCTAGTGTTAGTGTTTTCTAAGAGGCTGTTTGTTTCAGCCTCTTAATGGTTCAGATGTCTGAATGGTTCAGCACTTAATGGTTCAGACTGTTTGTTTCAGCCTCTTAATGGTTCAGATGTCTGAATGGTTAAGAGATTTGCTTCTGAATGGTTAAGTATTATACAGAGTCTGAATGGTTAAGAGCTCTTATCTGAATTGATCAGACATTTGCCTCTGAATAGTTAAGCAATATACTAGCTCTTAATGGTTCAGACCTCTTACGGGTTCAACACTTAATGGTTCAGACCTCTTACTGGTTCAGCACTTACCTATTCAGAAGTTGCCAAACAGCCCCAAAGTGTCTACGGAGTATATTTTTTCTGTCTCAAAAATCAGTATTCAAAAATATCAAAATGTAAAGGCTATTAATTTCAGCATGTTAAAAATATTATTCAATAGCAGCTTCTTGTGTTAGTATTTTCATAGTTAATAGTCAATATTATTAAAAACATTCAAATGCTAATCACTTAGGTTGTTCTCAAAAGTAAATGCGAGTTGGTGAACTTGTTTGTTAGGCACTTGACAATTACCTGCTTTTTTGTTTATTTTTCTTGTTATTAACTTGCAAAAACTCTAGAAAGACATGAAAATGAGACATTATTAAGTGATATTGTTATGTTACTTAGAAGGACATGAAAACGAGACATTATTAAGTCACTTAGAAGGACATGAAAATGTTTGGGTTTTGAAAAGTCAGACACCTGATCATCAACCAATAAATATGTCCCAAATTAGAGTGTCACTTAATACTCTGCAATTTTGATGTCTCCCATGAAGTGCTCTTGACTAGGACTGTTTAAGCGACTAGGACTGTTTAGGCTAGAGTCTTGAATTTGGTTGGACTAAACGGCTAAGACCCAATACTAATGGATCATAGACTTAACGTCCAAGGCCCCCAAGGCTTTTGGACTATAGGAAGGTAAGGTCTTTGAATGGACCATGGACTAAACAACCATTGCGTTGTTACCAAGAGAAGGGGTGCCTAGGAGAATAGTTTTTCAAGGCGAGAGGCAGGCAAGAAGACTTTTTTCAAGGCGAGAGGCAGACGGCGGATGGTCAAATGCAAACATGGTTCATTTGGCCTAGTTACTCTCTGGGTCTGTTGATAACTTTTATTTGTGTATGCCTTTCCAATAATCATTTAATAAAATAAAATAGGCATGTCACTATTTATTTTGTAGAATTTTTGATATATTTTATAAATGTGTAAATTGTATTTTTATTTTCATACAAATTTGTAAAAAATTATTTAAAAAAGATGAGATTTTGCACATCTCGAAAGAGAACAAAGAATTTGAGACGTAGTGTGTGTGTGTGTGTGTGTGCGCGCGCGCGTGCGTGCGCGCACGGAGGGAGGGACGGAGGGATGGATGGATGGATGGATGCATGCATGCAAAGCGACGAGTAAGAATGATACTTGTGGGGCAAGTCGCTAGGATTAGGATGAAGGGCCAAAGTTGTTCACTTGAAGAGATGGTAGATGCAAGAAAAGTGTTTGATTCGGGCGCGCTTACGAACCTCACTTCGCTTGACCACCATGAGGTGCCTTAGGCATAGACGCTCCCCTTTTAAAACTTTGGTATTTAGGAAATAATATTTTCACAGAAAACATTCTACCAATTTATTCTTTTAATTCTATCAGTTTGGCACTTGACATGCCACTGTTTTTAATGGTTTTTGTGTGTTTTGTAGAAGAGCATGTCAACTAGAAATGAAGCAAGTCAAAAGGGAAGATGAAACTTCTTAATTTGATCACATTTTAATGAAAGACTTTATACTCTTATTTTTTTCTTCATGTTATTAACTTACAAAAACTCTAGAAAGTTTAGGTGGTTCAAATGGGGGTGTTAAGTTCAAAATCTCAGGATCGATTCTCGGGAACAACAATGTGAAAATTTTATCCAAAAGAAAACCCCACCGATTGGAGTAAATTTTATAAAAGACACAAATAGTTCTATGCGTTTTCTTTTTTTAGTCCAGAATTGCCCTTGCTTGCTTATCCTAAAATCCCAGCGGAATAGTTGGAAACCATATCTTCATTTTTTAGCTTGGATCTGCGGCTCAAATAGCCGCCTGCCACAGCTACCCTCGTCAACCTCCGTGACATCCGTTGCAATGCTCATCATGACCTCTCCGCTTTGCTTGCGGGGTGTTATGTTTTTTGAAGCTTTGCCTTTAAAGCTAATCCCTGTGACTTGGATCCTGTGACTCGGATTCAAATTTTCTGACCTCGCACTCGGATTTAAATCTTCAATTTCTGCACAAAGTAATGTCAATTTACTTCCTCTTTCACACTCTTTAAATACTCCCAAGATCCATGTTGTAAAGGGGGTTAAGTGTGGCGGGAGAATTGATAGTGTGGAGTGTGACACCCTTAATTCTACTAGATTCTAACCTGCGCGATGCACGGCTAGAATTTTATGAAATGATAAAGGGTACAAATCATAAAAATAACACATAATTAGGGGTCACTACATTTCAAATATATGTAAATGCAGAGGGGTTCCCATGACATTGGAACCTCATGGCATGGAATAACTCGGGATCGCTACGGTGCTCTGTTCGTAAAATTGACGATCCTCTACCCCGCCCCGACCTGAACATACCCTCCACTCCCTTCAATTGCACCCTAAGTTAATTATGACTTAGGAGCAAAAATTAATTCCAACATAAAAATTAACTTGGGGGTGCAATTGAAGTGAGTGGGGGGTGTGTTTAAGTCAGGGGGTGGGGGGTTACTGGGGAGGTTGAAAGGTAAGAATCATCAATTTTACGAACGGAGCACCATAGCAACCTCGGGTCAATCCATAACATGAGATTCCAATATCATATAAACCATCCCCATGTAAATATTTTTACTCCTTCCGTCCTCGGCTATTTATCCAGTTTTAATTTTTTCAGTCAAAATTGGTAAACTTTGACCTCAAATTAAATAAAAATGATATTAGATATTGGTATAAAATAAATTTTATTAGATTTATTATATCAAATATTTTTAAAATATTATTTTATCTAATTAATATATAATATATTTTATTTGATTATATGTCAAATGTTGAAAATCAAATTGTGGCGACCTTTTAGGGACGGAGGGAGTATATAGTTGGCTTCCGAGAGGTTGTGGTTCAAATCCGATGCTCCGGGGTCCAATGTGGGGGAGATGGGCTGAAATGGGTCGACACCACCCTGGACTCGAGAAGCTCAACCATGGGGGTGCTATTTACGCACCTCGGAGCTTTGTATTGGTTAATGGAAGCTCCCTTTGCAATGGCCAAGTCCATCACCTCTTCAAATGTCCCGGCTTTTACAACCCTTATTTCGAGTGCCTCGATCGACTTATCTGCAACCCTACACTGTCTATATACGGTGTTCATCGACTCTTCCATGGCCACGCAACACTTGCTCAGAACATCGTCGAGATCTCCTAGGACGTGATCGTTGCAGGGATTAGGAGCTATGCTCAAGAGTTCCCAGTAAATCATGTAGTGACTTGGGATGGTCTTTGTCTCGGTGAAGCTCATGTACTCCACGAGCCTCACCCCGTGAGTCGTGACCGTGCAAGAGAGCCGCGGCTTTTTAACGGCATTCTGCAGCTCTGCTTCGTCGGTCTTGTCGGAGTCGATGCTCAGGAGCACGTTCTTTCCACGCACGAATTTGAATGTTGGCGCGGAGTTGTGGAAGCCGGTGACCAGGAGGATGTCTCCCACCCGGTAGCGACACATCCCGGCGTAAGTGGTGATCACGAGCTCGTATTCCTTCCCCATTTCCACGTCTGCCAGGTCCACCAGGTCACCACCTGGTCCTGTGAGGACAGGGCTAGGAAGGAACTCGAAATACCCCATATTGGGCATGATGGTGTAGGAAACCTCGGAAGGCGGACACATGGTGTTGAGGTTGAGGCCGAAGTAGCATTCTAACGATGCGTACATGACGGACGCCTTTGGCAAGCCGCCACTGTAATAATCAAGAGTGTGGATGTACTGAGCCATTGCGCTGGTGATACCTGGCATTGGGCCAAATTCTCCTTATGATCCCTTCCCAGTTCTCGTCCTCGCACTCTCTGACAATTACCTGAAAAGAAATTTATCTAAAAAACACTAAACCAAAGATGAAACTTATATTAACATATGGGCAAATTTTTAGTTCTAGTTAGTTATTTTCCCTTTACCTGAGCGAGCTGATGGTTCGGGCTCAAGACCTTTCCAACTTAGCATCGGATGGAAGGGTCGGTGATCCGGGAGCATAGCGTCCCGGAGGCGATATCCCCGATTATTCCCCGGCGAGTTCCCTCCAGTGCACGTGGAGGAAGCGGATGGCGCAGAGGAGGCCGGAGGCGAAGACGGCGCCCATGCGGAGGACCTCCTCGCGCATGAGCAAGCTGCAGAGCATCTGAGCATACATGCTTTGGAAGGTGTCGACGTAGAGGATGGCCTCTATAGGGCTCGTGCAGACATTGTAGGGGTCGTAGGGCTTCTTCGTGAACTGCTCGCTGTTGTAGTAGCTTGTCAAGACCAGGTAAAAAATAATTTTATTATCTTTTATTTTGTAGAACTTTTGAAATAGTTTTTTAATATCTGATCTTTACTAATTATTCTTATAGCAATTATTAAATAAATTTATTTTTTAAAAATTGTAAGGTTTTACCTCGTAAATAAAAAATTGTAATCTAGTTTGAGAGAAAAAGAGTATTTATAAACTAGAAAAAAAGTTAGACAATTATGCTAAACATAGATCCTCTATAAGTATCATTAGAGGCGGATCCAGGATTTTACAACCATGGGGTCCTCTACCTCCCATTCTCATCTCGAACCACTTCATAAGTCTTAATATTTAAAACTAATATTTGAAAAGTATCATAATTAATACATAGAAATAAAGTCATACGAAAATAATATCGTTTACAATTGTACTCGTCTAGCTTTCATATTTTGGAAGTGATCTATAATTACATCATCACTAATGGTGAAAAAGACATCTCCAAAGACTCAAAATCCAGGGTCAGCTTCCAAAGACTCAAAATCAAAATTTCTTTCAATAGAAGTACATTGAGTGCTTTCTTGAACATGCGTAGGTTGAGTGTCTACTTGAATAGGAGTGGACCGGAGCACTAACATTGTTACTAATTCCACTTGACTTTGAATCTTTGGATTTGGATAGCTTTTTGAAGTACCTTTGCATTTTTAATTCTGTAAATAAAAAATTAATATTAATTACATAAATTATACATAAAATGAACATTAATACAATGATACTTATCACTTGCAATCCTAGATCAATTAACTTTGATTCTTTAATTAATAAGTAATGAATAAAAAATAAATTTATAAATTATTATATATTTATATATTACTAATCATATTTCAAACTTGAAACTATCATAAAAATTAATTTTATTAAAATAAAGAAATTTTTTTTAGACTAATTACCTGTCGGGCCTGCCGTTGTGGAGTGTGGTCGAACTTCGGTGGAACGGCGAACAGAAGTTAGGGTTCGAAATTAAAAATTTGAAACAGAGAATTGGGGAAGACAGTTCATTTTTGCTCCATGCTCTTTTTTTATAAAAGAAGAAAAATATGACTCCCAAGGACATGGACAGGAATCGAACCCAGGTACTGAGGATAAAAATGCTCCGCACGCTTCCACTATACCAAATGCAAATCTAGTAACTAGGAGCTACGCGTTTTTTATATATTAATATTTTAACAAACCTAATACCTATATGGACCTACACCGGGGTCCGTGGGGTCCCGGGACCCCATAAGAGTCAAGGTGGGTCCGCCTCTGAGTATCATATACATGCTTCATTTTCTGGCATCAATTTTTATTCAGAGTTCAATTTATCTTTTCGAGAATGAGACCCATCTTTTTTAAAATTACTAGTATTCTAACGCGTGCAAGGATCTTTTCTTGTCGATTCTAAAATGTTTTCAATGCAATAATCTTTTCTTTTAATTATTTTTTAAAAATGTAAGGTTTTACCACATATAAAAAAAATTAATCTAATTTAAACAAAAAAGAGTATTTATAAATTAGAAAAATGTCAAAAAATTATGTTAAACATAAATTCTCTGCAAATATCAGATATATGTTTCATTTTTTATCTGTCTATCATCAATTTTTAATCAGAGTTCAATGCGCGGTTATTGTTCTAGGAAGCAACGGTTTTAGAGGATAGGGGAGTGGGCAGGAAGTTTCGGACAGACTAGGCCTCTTTACCAATCAAACCAAATTTCCTGAATTGTTCAAGTGGACAGGGTAAGTGTAACTCTGATTTGGCCCAAAAGTTGGTGAAAATTTGGTTTGATGGGTTCTGACTTCCGACAATTTGACATTTTGACCACAAATACTCTGAATTTCATTTTAATTATTCTCTTTCAAACAATATGTAAAATTTCATTTTTTTTCCTGAAAAACAAATTATGATCTATCTATTTTATTTTATCAAATTATAATAAAAGTACATAAGCAAACAGCAAACTAAGGTTATCGACAACTTCAAATGGTACAGAAGACGATTACTTTAACACGGAGGACTATGATTTTTTTTCTCGGGCCTTCAGTACTTATGAAAATATTGTTTTCAATCGATTTATTGGCTGATATTTTAACAAAAATGTTAAGGGAATCCTAAACATTTGATACCAAATGCACACTAAAATTAATACAGACACACACAAATATTTAATGCTTGTGGGTGTACAGACATTAAATGTTCGGAGTATGTTTGTATTGACCCTGGTGTGCAATTAGTTCAAAACTTTGGGGTCCCCCTATCACTCTTCATCTTTTAAATGTTTGACTCTAGTGTACAGGGAAAAAATTTACTACCATTATCCCTCAGTATTTCTTTTGTTTTAAATTTTGACAATCAAAGATCATCAATAAAATATAATTGTACTAGATATTGCTATAAAAACAATTTTTTTATTTTATTTCATAAAATAATTTTCAAAATAGTATTTTTCTAATTAATATAACATATACTGAGTAACTTTTACTTAATTATAGGTCAAATGTGGAACCTGGTAGACTGCAAAAATTTGAAATCTGACAAATATTAAGGGACGAAGATAATACATTATACACAGCAACACAAATTTAATACCGATCAATAGATTCATTTTGAAGTATATTTAATTTAAATTTAGCACATTTTCTAATCATATATACTCATACTACTTTCCAACTTATTTGTCTACTTTTGACTTCTTATAGTTAAAGTTAATAAACTTTGATCATAAATTTTTTTTAAAAAATAGATATTGTTATAAGAATAACGGATCCATAAGAAGTCGTGAAAAGTAAAACAAGAAAATAAGTTCTGAAAATTTATGTGTGGTGTAATAGTACACATTGTCTTAAGTTTTAAAAATAAATTGTCAGTTTGATTAGAGGATATATATATATATATATATATATATATATATATATATATATATATATATATATATATATATATATATATACTCCCTCTCTCCAATAATGAGTGATTCTATGGTGGACCTAAGGTTCATATGAACCTTTTGATAAGAGTATTTTTTTTAAATTTTAAAAATGATTATTTCAACAGTTGAAAATACTTATGTAGTACTCCCATTTTGAACAAAATGTGTAAAATTACTTTATTTCCAAATTAGTACATCATAAAAAATGAAAAATACATTGCTCAAAATTTAATTAAAAGATCAAAATCAAATTAAAAATTCTACAAAATAAGATGCGATAAAAAAGATTATGCAAAAAAATATAAATTATCAAAAACCCATAATAATAATGGCAAAGTTCAAGGGAGGGAATATGTAGTATAATGGGAAACACGCATGGGCCGTGGCAATGCATATAAAAAACATGAAACGAGTAAAGCACCAGACAAAGCTAGTTAATTATGAATTGTGATGGCCGTTGGGTGTACATCTCCTTTTGTTCCCATAATTCTTTTATTTTACTTTGCTTTGCTTATAAGTTACTCCTTTCGTCATATTTGAATCTTTTCGTTATGATGTTTGATCAACTTTATTTTTAATTTAATTTATTTGATTGTAGATGTAAAACTTAAAATTATATATTAAAAAATTACATCAAAAAATCTATAAAATCAGAAGTGACAATGATTATATTATTTTATCAAATGAGTAGCCAAAATAAAAAGATAAAAGCATATAAAGTTTGATATTGTGAAGTAATGATATTGGAATCTCCCTCATCTTTTTATTTCAATCACATATCACTCTCTCGTTAGACTTCCAATTTTTATCTTTCTTTTAAATAGATTTTAAATTCTCAATTGTTTTTTTAATATTCCCTCTATGCATAAATCGTAATTTATATCGTACACCGTAATGGTTCATTTACGAGTAACTCAATGCTTATTTTCGAGCAAGTAAATACTCATTCTCATTTAACTAAATATAGATTTTTAAAAGTCAGCTATACTCGAAAATGAGTATTTAGTTATTCGAAAATGAGTAATTAAAAAATGAGTACTTAGTTACTCGACAATGAGTATACACGGGGATTGTACAAGAAATACCGTACACGTGGATGTATGGTATGGTATATGTACTCTCCATAAATTATCATCAATTTTACAATTTTGAAAATCTGTATATGGCATATTTTCAATTGATCATTCGATTAAGTACAGTAAATTAAACATGCTACCACTTTGCTTGCTCGTAGAATTATATATAGTTTTAAAGAAAGTTGTACTTTTTAAGTTTATAACAAAATTAATTAGTTTTTTAAAAGAAAGTTGTACTTTTTAAGTTTATACAGATTTTTAACAAAAATAATTGGTTTTTTTAAAGAAAAATTTTTGAATTCATGAATTTAAACTGTGTGCTAATTAATACTCGATAGAGAAAGCATTACTACGTACTAGGCAAAAAATTATGCATTAAAAGCTACCCCATCTTTTAAAAAGTTAGATTAATACATGGGCAATGCTACGTTCACAAACAGAAGGATCACAAACTTCACAAACTTACTATTTATGCTTTAAATTCTCATTTTAAAATTATTTTAGACTATTTAATTTTCTTTATCGAAGTTCAGAAATGGTAAGTTTGTGAAGTTTGTGAAGCTTGAGTTTGTGAACCAAGCATTTCCCTTAATACATTGTTCATGACACTACTAGAATAAGTTGAATTAGCTGCCAATGTTAGTGTAGAGCTTGCAGCCCTCGCAATTTTGTGTCCGCTAAATCGACACAAATAACTTAGTTTTTTTAATGTTAGTCATCGAGCAGCTTAGTGACGGCCTCGATACCGACGCAAGGTCGACGCAAAGCTTCCTTTTGTGGCGGCTTTTACCTTTTTGTGAGGGCTTTTGCCCCACACTAAATCGCCATATTCTAGTAGTGTGAGATTAAACTTTATTACGCAACACTCAATATCTTTTTTGTCTCTATTTTAATTTGTTACTTACAAAGTATTTGATTAAACAATATTATTATGTTACCTTGTATTTTTTAATTCATGATAGGGAGTGAGTGTCTTTTAATGAATGAACAAGAGGAGAGAGAGAGAGATTGCTTTATAAAGCAAACCCCAATATGTCACCTTGGTTAAGTATAAAGTACTCTTGTACGTCCTTTATTCTTTTTCTTTTAATGCTCCATCTCTCCCTCTCTCTGTCTCTCTCAATATACTCCGTAATTTGTTGCGCACATTTTTCTATTTGCTTAACTTTAACTTAATCCATCCTCTTTGTTTTCCTTTTTTTTTTGATTATTTGATACGTTAAGTTTATAGATATTCATCAACTTCATCTTGTGGATATTAAGTTAGTGTTTCTCCGTGCTTATAAGTAGTTTTTAACTTATAAATTAATTGTTGACATGCTTTTGTGTGCTTATAAGCTGTTTATAAGCAAGAAAAAAATAATTAGGTCTTAGCTACATATTTTAAGTCAGTTTTTTGTTTCTTTATTTTGACTAGATTATTTACAAAATTGTTCCTGATCTTTTTTAAGTACCTACAAATAATTTATCTATCATTTAAGTTATTTTATTTTCACTAAAGAATATTTGACTTATATGTAGTTTATAAGTTAAAAATTGCTTATCGACAATAAGCTAATAAGCATTAGCACAGAGAAACACCAGGCCACTTAAATATGGGCTCTTTTGCTCATAGAATTCTTAAGTAGCATTGGTACTTTTGCGTACAAAGAGTCATCGCATACTGATTGGTTAGTTCACCGTATTGATTGGCCAGCATCCCATTGATTATGTTGAATCTTCTCGTACTCAGCATTAGGTTCCTAGTCATCCTAGATCCTAGTAGATTCAAGTTCTCACATTTTTGCGTTTTCCTTTAGATGCCATATGAATTAGATGACATTATATGATTAGAGTGGACTAATTGAAGGACCAACTTAAAAAAAGGATAACCCCATTGCCGAAGGCCCTTTTAGACCCGGCCTGATAGTCATTCTGATGTGGTAAATTAGAGTTTGATCGCAGATTGGTGGCAAAGAGTAGAAACCGCACGTAGTACTTACAGAAGTCATATGTTTAGCATAGTTGTCTCCCAGTACAGATGTCATGAATCGAACTCAAGTCTTACCCCTTTGACACTCCTTACTTTTGGCATGCATTTGTGCATCATTGTCCCGTGGCGGAGGCTATCTGGGCTAAGTGACAATTGAATATCGTA